ATATATATATATATATATATAAGAGAAGGGATTCTCTTATATTTAAGTTTTACACATTATATTTATATAAAATTTTAATTATTTATCTTTTAAATTTTAATAGTTGAGATTTATTATGATTTTTGTCACGTCCCAGAACCCAAATTTGAGGACGTGGCAGATGCCGTACACTTGTGAGAGGGTCCCACAAATGCACAAGACTCGAAACTTATCATACCATAATCCGATACCACTAAACCTAAAGATAAAATTATAAAATTTGCTCTAATATTATAAAATCTCCAAATAAAGTCTAGCTTACAAGATCATGATTTATATCTAAAATCTATGTTCAATTTACAAGATGGTTAGCTTTCTAACTCGTCACTCCTCTCGTTTTTCCCTGTCCTTGACCTCGCTTCCTAAAATGGTGGACAAGGAAAAACTATGAGATAACTCAGTAAGTAAATATGGATAGCCCTTAATTAAACTTATAGCATGCCAACCCTTATAATCACGAAAAACAGGTACGAGTACGGAAACGAAATAGTCGTCTCCTCTATAAGTCATGGCTAGTGTTATAAACCTCCCACTAGTAGGCACACGATTTTCTAGTGTATAATCCCACTAGCAGGATAACAAAAACGAACTGGTTCTATCAGTAACGTGTCGACATGTGCTAGCATTTATAAACCTCTTACTAGCGGGCACACGAATAACATGACTATATCGGAGACAAAACAGGCAGAAGTTAACAATAAAATCATAATTCACAAATAATTTTTAGATCATCAGGGCAATTAAGTAAACTCCAAGAAGGCATGCTCAATTCAATAAAAAAAAAAAATTTCATTTCAAATCGATCATGCTTGTGTAAAACGGGTTTAGTCCCGCCACCACTTCAAAAGCAAGCTAAAATGTGCTTTAAAATCGGAGGGCGTTGCCATAATTTACTTACCTCACTCGCATAAAACCGAAGACTCAATCCAAGTGCTCGGGTGACAGAACAATCACGAACCTAATCAAATATTCAAAAATTAATATCCATATAAAAACTACATAGTTAATCCTTTCTAATATTGTCGGTAATTAACCCCCATAATGCAATATTTATTTTCTTATTTTATTTTATTTCCTACTTTCCGAAAATTGAGCACTAAAATCAGGTTGTGCGCACACACACACATATATATATATATATATACAAATACACACATATATATATATATATATTTAGCTAAAAACACAATGGAGGAACCGGCTTTGGCAATCAACA